TATATATATATATACACACACACACACACATATGAGAATATATTTATATATGAGAAAACAAAAAATATGAGAATATATATTTATAAAAAATTCATATTAGTGGTCCTCGGGATTTAAAATTATGAATTTAGTGGTCCATGAGATCCGAAAAGTTGGAGACGGCTGTCTTAGAGAGTACCGATTTCAGATGTTCTATTCTGCTTCAAAGCTATTATACAGATTAAATTCTACAGTGCCAACTGATGGAAAATACATGTTAACATTGGATCTAGATTGGTAGAGATCAATAATGCTCAGTTTTTAATTAAAAACACCTTAATAGGGCTCATTGTAATCCCCTCTGGCAATCCCGGCATAACTGTTTATTTAATTGTTTCTCTTTCATATCTTAAAACTTATATAATTATAATGAATAGAGTACTACAATACTCACACATATATAAAATTGCAGACTGGATTCCAAGCCAGTATTTATCATAAGCCTCGGCTACAGTCGCACTATTAAGAAAAGAACAAAACCACCACAGAAAACACATTAGGTCCCTCTGTATAATGAAACAACCTAAGGGTATGTTACAGTACTTAAATCATATGTTTTGAGGTTAACTACATATAAAGCACCTTTGTTATTTTTAAAGTGTAAATGTTAGCATGTGCAGCACTACAGCTCATGATAAGAAAATACCCTTAAAGCTGAACTCCAGGCAAACAGCTAAAGACATAAAATACATATAAGGGAGTTGTTTTACCTGCCAAAGGATTTGTATGTCTATCAATCCAATCTTTAGATGTGCACAGCTCTGCCACACAACATAGCTCTGCCAGGCAGGGCAGGAGACCTGATAGTTCTCTGCTGCAGTTGAGTAACACTTACGAATCTTGTCCCTCCTCCAGCCTGTGACTGGATAGTGAAAGGAGAAGCAGCAGAATGATAAGCTCATCTCTCTGTCACTCTGCTCTCTCCTCCGATCAGCATATAATTTGCTAGCACATAAACACTGCAGCACAATTGATTGGCTCACTGTGCTGCTTCTCCCTCTCTCATTCTGACCTCTGTTGTACAGAAACTGCAAAAGGGTGAGACCAGGTCAAATTCATGAACTTGCACTGGTTGCATTAATAATGGGATGTAATAATGATGTATAATGACAGAACTGCAGTCATTTGTGTTTTTCATGTCTGCCTGGAGTCTAACCTTTTTAACCTATGCTGCTTTCCACATTTTATCATTCTCTACTTTTACTCCAGCTCCGGAACTCTTTGGCTTTGTCAGTACAGACTAGCATCGCTTTATGAACAAACACAGTTCCTTTAAATTGCAACAGCTACGTTTTCTGAGTTAGGAATTACATGCTAGACGGGGGTTGACAAATGTTTCATTTTGTACTTACGTACCTCACAGTAATTGACATTGGGGTCACCATAGATACTAAACAGTTTTCTGAAGGTTATAATTAAATTGTCACTTTCCCTTACTTACACAAAGTATAACACAGGGGGGGATCCAGAGTCTGGTGGCATCCATAAGTATGTTGTAGACTGGTCCTTCAAGTTAGTGTTGGCATGTGTGACGGCTCCAACAGGATTTTTTGGGCACTGAAATTAAATTATATTTGATTATTATAGCAGCAGTGTGTTTGTGTTTCCTTTCATCCTTCTTTCCCCCTCCCTTGATTTGCTGACTCGTTTCATAAGTATACAGTATGTACATTGAATCATATAGCTCACTGATTGCATGTGAACATTTGTATGTGTACAAAGTGTTAAAAAAGAATTCAAAACAAAAAATATCTGATTTAAAAAAGATTTATACAGTATCGTAATATAAAATTTATATTTAGA